GAAGCCAGGCAGCGCTGCAGGCCAGCCATTGTGTAGGCAACAGCTGGCATGAGGATGCGAAGAATCTGCTTGGACACTGACTGGGATCTAGGTTGTTCCGACCAGAAAAATCAGCTTGATCTGTGACGGCTGACGATCCCAGCAGGGCGTTCTTCTGTCGAGTACGGGGTTGGGCAAGCCTAGCAGCCTTTGATTTTGCGTGTAGGCCGGGGCACTGGCACAGCAGCCTGGCTCCACGCCCAGACTCCAACTGGCGGAGTGGTCGTTTTCGGGCGCTTCAAGGAGGGTCCACTGGATGTTTCGTTGTAGGAAAGCTGCCTTCAAGCCGAGCTTCTTCAGGCACACGGCCTGAGCGTGTAGCCTTTATCTCGTTGAATTTTCAATCTTGTTAAAAGTACGCCATGACATGTTTTCTTTTTCAGCCAACAGTGTCCTCATTTCTAGCTTGCCGGAGGATGTAGACGCGGCGCAGCCATCAGCGAAGCACTTGAACGTGCTGGATGGGTGCGAGACTGGACTATATTGTGAGGATGTCCCTGACCTTGCCTTTGAGCATTTGAAACTGTAAGTTCTTCACTCTTGAGCCCATGAATTTGTGACTCGTAACTAGCGCTTCAAGGCTCTGCCAAAAAAATCCATTGTTTGCCAGCTTGATTTTGAAGGGTATTTCTTGTAGGCCGTGCACGCACGCGCTTGCTCGTGCCAAGGGGTTCCTATGCGCATGTCTTGTTACGTGTTGCGCTCCACTGTGTATTGTTTTGTCCTCGAGCCGCCTTCAGAAGAAGGGAAGGTATTTGCATGCTTGCATACGCGAGCCATTTTGTTCTGTTGCGGAGGGTTTGGGCCCTTGGGCTTCGGTCCAAGGGTTTTGTAGGCCACTTGGCAAGGCTGCTCCAATGTGACTGTGCTGCTACGAAAAGGTGCACGCAAAAACAGGAGGGGTCTAAGATGGTCTAAGCCGAATACCAGCATCGATGTCGCACAGATGTTCGTGTTTGAGTTGGCTGGGGTTGTTGTTGTTGGTGGTGAAGGAACCGAGGGTTTTCCGCGCTGCGAAGCATCAGCTCATAAAGGTTGATGCATAGCTTTTGTGCTTCGGATGGCCAGCAAGTCAAGGACCGCCTTCACTGGGGAGCAGTTGCAGCATGTGCTTCACAGCTGCGAAACTTCTGGCAAGCTGGCGTTCGTCTGGTCGTTGCCGCGTCTTGTCTGAAGCATCCATCTATGAGCCTGGCTCAAATCGACCCATGGCATGCAAAGGGAGGTGAAGCGTGCAGAATTCCGAATGCTGGTAAGGACGGAACAAAGCTCTTGACAAAGAGCGTGTGGGAAGAGGCTCGAAAGGCTGGCTTCAGCGTCAGCATCCTGGAGGTGCATTGCTCGCCGAACATCGCGCCTTCGCTGCAAGGAGTGTGCTGGCCCGCGCAGGGCTTCTGCTTCTCATCTGAACAGCTCATGTCAGGCAGCAAAGCGGAAGCGGACCCGGGATGCAGACACGCCCGATGATTGCCTTGGCCAGGGGCAGAATTCTTGGGCAAGCCGCCAGGCGACTAACAATGCCAATTAGCCTGTCCGGTAGCTTTTCGCGACGACGACTGTGTCCGGAAAGCTCGATTCCCTGCTGACAGTAGCGTCAATCAGCAAGTCCATGGGTGACACGGATGCCCAAACCACACCCTCTCCATAACGCGATTTAGGACGTGTGCGTCTAGCTGATGGAAGCAAGTCTCTTGACAGGCCACTTGGAAGGACATGATCGAAAAGTTGCCCCAAGCTGCTGTGCTTGGCAGACTTCGATCGCTTGCCCGTGGCGCTCTGGGCAGGCGCCGTCTTCTGCTGTACGAACTCTTGCCTGCTGTTCAGTGTTTCAACGCTGGCTTTGCCTTTGTTCGAGTTTCGCGATGACTTACGCCGTCGCCTGAAACCGCGTCGAGCATACGCATTCTTTGCATTCTCAATCTGGCATCTTCGAACTAGTCCAGTTTTGGGTGGGAGGCAGCTCCCGGGTGGTCCTCTCGGCAAGCCAGCAGAGAAGCTTCCAAAGCGCCAACGCCAACGCAGCGCTGAGGACATGGCCCTTAAATAAGAGCGCAGCAGTAACGTTAACAACAGCATCTTGTTCTATCAGAGTGGCTGGGAAGACACATCGGTTCCAAATTTTGCGCAGGAGCTGAAGGCCATCGCTGCAGCGCAGAGGCCGCGAGCATAGTACCATTTTTCTCATTTCTGCCGGGCCGGAACCTGGCGAGCCTGGGATTAGCACATGGGTGGATTGGGATAATCTTGCATCCGGGCACTTTCAGCTTGTGGGCAGGAAGAAGCGGGCCGGCATGTCGAAGAGGAGCCATGCTGCAGCCCTCAAGCAGCGTCGCCGCCAACAACAAAAGAGGCGGCAGAACGCCACGAAGCCAAGCCAGCACTGGTTTCCTTGTGCATGGTGAACTTTCATATCCAAGCATGTGCCCATCATAAAGAGCTAGAGTTTGTAAGGCAACTAACGCCGCCCAACAAGTCTCAGTAGCTGATCTCCACACGCGAAGCGGGCTGTTGATGTTGCAGCATGCTTAATCACTCTGAGGACCGAAGAGCGGCTTTTAATGGCCACTGCGGCCAGGGAGCGTGCGCGACGGTGCCGTGACGAAAGGTCTGCCTGATGCCAATTTTCTATAATTATATTCTGGTACCTCTGCAATCTGCGAATATGCGACCAACTTTCAATGTTCTGCACTTCGGCAAGGAGGTTATAGAGCTGCTAAGGCGGGGAATCTTATTACGGTCACTGGCGCGAGAAATTAGATGTTATTGGAGATTAGCTTTGTAGCTTGCAAAGAGGGAATTTTGTTTGAAGTTAATTTGTGGCTTACTCAGGAGGAGATTTTTCATTGGAAGTTAGCTTTGTGGCTTACTGGAAGAAGAATTTATTGGAAGTTATCTTTGTCCCCAGCAGTGCCAAGCAGACAACACCCAGACCCTCCCGACAAACGGTGCCACGGCGTGCTATCCGCTTGGGGGTTGAGCGTGCCACGGTATTGTTTATCTCGGGATGGGTTCAGCGTGTCATAGCGTTGTCTGCTTGGGGGCGGGTCGGGTGGGTCCCTGTATTGTCCGTTCAGGGGTGGGCTGACCGTGTCACGGTCTTTGGCTGCTACCGACCCCTAAACGACCAATACTATATCACGCCCAACCCACCCCCAACCGGGCCCTACCATGACCAGCTTAACTCAATTTCCAACGAACAACGCTGGGGCACACTTAACCACCCGCAATAATATTGTGACGAGCCTAACTCACTCACACGCGAATACTATCGTGATATATTTAACCCAATCCCCAATAGATATCGCCATGCCACGCCCAACCCACCCCCCAATCGGATATCACCATGATTTCCACAATCCAACCCCAAACGGATAATACCACGACACATTCAACCCAACCGCCCCAGGCGGACAACGCTGGAACACCCGACCCACCCCTAAATGGGCAATATTGTGATAGGCTCGATTCATCCCTAGATGGATATTTCATGACGCCGAACCGACCAAATGCACAACAAACTATGACACGCCTATCCCACCCCAAACGGGCAACACCATGACACGCCCAACTCATCCCCAACCCCGGACCCTCCTATAACCCCACCCAACCCACCCCCAAGCGGACAATACTATGACACGCCCGACCCGACCCCCAAGCAGATAACATTATGAATTATGACACGTCCATGCCATTATCTCAGACCCAGACGTAATTCCGGAAGATATCTCCCCAATCTACAGAAAGCGCGAGCGACGTATACGCCCAAAAGCGCAAATTAAAATTTTAATAAATCCGAGAGAAAAATACTCTCGATCTTCGAAATTATAAGACTTGCAATTAGAAATCATGCCAATGCATTTCCTCCCACGAATTTTTTGTTGCGTTTTACATGTTGAAGCCCCTAACGGAATAATCCTTGCAGTTGCTGCAATTTACCATTTTCGAAAGTGCTGAACTGCTCACTGCTCCGTCTTGCTCTGGAGGTCATCTGGCGTGTCCTCATTCCTGCTCTGTCTTGTGCAGTCCTAAGCCATCTCTTTGTTTGTTGTGTTTACATGTTGAAGCCCTTGAAGGAATCATCCTTGCAGTTGCTGCAAATTTGCCAAGTTTGCAAAGTGCTGAACTGCTCATGCTCCGTCTTATACAAGGGAGGGGGAAGGCGTGCTGGTGCAAACTTTTTTTGCATCAAAAGCGCGAGAAACCGTATCGCATGTTGTATTTCTGTTTTCCCTCGCCGAATGTCATCTCATCTCTTTAAAGAGGGTCTGAAAGGGACACCCCCCCGTGGTTTCTGAGAGGCCCAAGCCGTCGTTTCGGGGATGTATTGCAACATTATCACGGCAGACGTCGTTCTGGCTGGTCCTCACGCGAAGTGAGAACAGCAGACGCGGTTGTGGGACGCTTACTGTAGTGGCTGTCCTCATACCTCCGCAGTTTTTGTTTGGTACCCTCCCCCGTGTGTGTACATACACATATGTATGTAAGTGTATAATTACGCATTTACGCACTATGAGAAAGTAAGTACGTAAGCAAGCAAGTAAGTAAGTAAGCCAGTCTGCATGACAGTATGAATGTACACCTGTGCGCATGTGCGCATGCGGGTATATACGTACATATGTACGTAAGTACGTGCGCAGTTGTGCAGGTATGTATGAGCTAATGAGTGAATAGATGTATGGATGACAGAATGAATTTGAAAACCAGTCGGGACGGCTTAATTTATCAGATTCCGGCGTTAACCGGGCGGGCCGGGTGAGTTTAACAGATTTCGGCTTTAGCCGGGCGGGCCGGTGAAGTTTAACAGATGCCATCATGGTAGGCACACACATGCAACACACCATCATGATCCCACGGTGCGGGTGACACAAAATCCAGAACGGCCCGCACATACATGCATGCAGCTACAAGTACAACGGTAAGCGGATGAACAGGTAAAGAAGATAGATCGTTTTGGTTGACAGATGTATGTGAGATCATGTATGTATTGTTTCGTGCGTATGCTTGCATATGTATTTGTGTACATGATTTCCAAAGTTGCTAAGATGCACTGTCATATCGCACAGTACACTTCCCGATACGTTGGTACAGACCTTGCCATGTCTTTGCATGGCTTGCAGGCGCCACAGTGTCCCGTCCTGAGCGAGACAGGCAGGGCAAACTTTTCGGGATAACGATCCCTAAACCGCAACCCTCACTCCATATACCTACATCGCAGCGCCCCAAGCACTGAACGCGCAGCACCTCAAGCACATTTTTCAGACTGCAGGTAGGGGGCAGCTGCCGGACACGCTGCTGGAAGTCAAAGGTGCGTCCCGCGGTTGTTGCAAATCAGGTTCCCTTCTGAGCTTCTCGTCATAATGAGAACTTGTCTTCCAAGCTGCTACTTAAACTACTTATGAGACCTAGGGTACATTGGAGCCTAAACAAACTGCCGCTCAAATCCTAAACTTGTTCTTGGTGATTTCATCGAAGCGGTTGTGGCCTTCGGAGTGGAACTGGCCTGGGCTCGGGCCGGCCGAGCGTGTCCCGGTAATATTCAACTAGCCCGAGGGTTTCAATTTTCGGGTTCAGCTTGTCGCACAAATTAGATACTTTTTAGATACGGTTGCAGAAAAATGCATATGCATCGAAAATACATACCGAATCTGTTTTCAGTACTTGCGGCATCTTAAGAATCCATTTTTTGAAATACGTCGAGAATCCATTTTTCGCATACGGTCGCATATACACAGCAAAATTGGTGCGAGAATCCAAAAAAGTCTATTCGCGATCTCTAGGGGTGGTGCGCGGTGCGTCGGTGGTGCGTTGTGGCTGGTGTGCGGTGGCTGGTGCGCGGTGGGTGGTGTGTGGCGGGGCGGTGGGTGGTGCAGGGTGGGTGGTGCGCGGTGGGTGGTGCGCGGTCGGTGCTGCGCGGCCGGTGGTGGCGCGGTCGGCGGTGCGCGGCTGGTGGTGCGCGGCCGGTGGTGCGCGGTTGCACACGGCCGGTGCTGTGCAGTCGTACGCGGTGGTCTTCTTCGTGTGCGTGCGTGCACGCTGCAGTATAGCTGCCCATGCACCCCTGCAAGCGGTCTCAGGTTCTGCGAGCGGGACGTTGGACAGTCCGAGGTGGCACAACGCAGCTGCTGCTCGCTGATGCTCACAGTGAAGATCGGAAGAGTTTAGGGTTTGGGTTACAGGGCAGTTTTCTGGAACTGACAGCGCAGAGGAGTTCTGGTTTGGTCTCAGAGACGTACATTCCCAAGCTCCCAAATCCACACAGAAGGGATAGTAGGAGGGACGCCGAGAAGGGACTCTTAATCCTGCAACCTTGGAATATTGTCCTATATGCCGAAGTAGCCCCTGCTGAAGCCTAAGCTTCACCGTCACCGTCTAATCAGGTTTGTTAAGGGTTTGTAGGATGTTGCCCCGAACCCTGAACCCTGAACTTGTCTCAAGCCCCATCTACGGAGTCCACCCATGCACAGGTAGGACATGCAGAGTTCGGGTTGGGTTTTGGGGATTCAGGCTTCAAGGTTTGGGGGGTCTATGGGGTTTTAAGGTTGAGGGGTTCTACCCTAAAGTAGCTTACGGCTTTAACGCGGAGGGTACATAGGCCATCGTGTGATGGGTGATCTGGAGGTTTAGGCAACCCTGCACATTAAACTCTAAAGCCGACAGTCGGGACCCCAAGCGTGGCGGCCGTTACCAGAAGGCCAAATATTTAAAGAACCGCGTGATCTGCAAAACCACTTCGGCATCTGGTCCGGCCCCTAAGCTCTTTCGTTGGGATGCTGTTTTTGGGAGGGATGAGGGTTTAGGGCCCCAACCCCGAAGCCAGAAAGAGACTGAATCACCTTTGCAGTACCATTCCTGGACCAGGGGTTATTGCCCTGAGCCTTGTTTGCCTGCCAGAAGCCCAAGACGAAGCCTGTCGCTGCGGCCGTCAGGCCTGGAGCCCTAACTCAAAACCTTTAGCCTTAAAGCCTCCCAAAAGTCTGCGCGGTTCCGCTCAGGAGTCCCAAGCCTGAAAGCCTTTTGAAAGCCTGTTCCCGCCCCCCCCCCACCCCTCCCAGCCCCCCTAAGGCCCCCCGACTCAGGAGTGTCATATGTTCTTCAGCAAGAAGGGCTTCTGGAACATTGGCCGCTGAGACGATGGAAAGGCTCGGCGAAGCTGTGGGGCTAGGGGTGCGCTTTGGGGGTATAGGTTGAATGATTTTTTAGCTTTAGTACAATGGTTCTATATATCTCAAGGATGTTTAGAGTTAATCTTGTCAATTGTTGAAAGGCCTCCCTGTCGTACAGGGGCCAAAGGATGTGCAGTTCAGGGGCGGCCTTCCCACGGACCAGGCCGGCCTTGCCGTCTGCCATGATGGGAAGAACGAGGCGCTGGGTTTAGGGTTGTTCGGGTTGTTGGGTATGTCAGGGTTGTCAGGGTAGTCAGGGGGTTTGGGGGGGGGTTCCTGGCCTAACTCGTTCCTTTACAAGCAGGGCCAGTGGAGCCGGGTGGGGAGTTCGGGGCTCCAAGTCTGTGGCGTCAGTTGTTATGGGATCGTATGCTTCCTCCGCGCACCACATTGTTGGCACATCTTCCGTGGTCAGCGTCTGAAGGTTCGGGTCTCCGGATTGGGATCAGGGCTTCAGGTATGAATCCAGTGCCGTAAATGTGTACAACAGTCCCACAAGCCTGTGACTTGTAGCGTGTTTTTGAAGGATTGTAGTTGGGATTTCTGCTTGTGACTGCGTGTTTTGTTCCTTTAAAAGGAAAGCATCTTTGGGCCGTACGAGGTACGCAAGGGTAAAACCGCAGCGGTCGTTTAAGAATTAAAGAGCTTTTCTTGGTACGTGGGTGGGGGGCCGGCAGTGTACACCCCAAACCCTACAGCCTGATCTGAAAGGTGGTATGAGAGTAGTTGGGTCAAGCCCACTTGTTAGGGTTCACAGGCAGAGGGTGTGGGGTAACCAGGTCAGTTCGTCACCTGGGCATGCCTAAACCCTAAACCCTAAACCCTGCTTTCTGGTGACGAACCTGGACCAGACTTGGTTCCTCTACGAGCCCCCGAGGTATCCGGATCAAAGAAACCTCCTCGTGAGAACAGACGAGCTTCCTGGACCCTGATCAGGTCCGGCTCCAGACTCGCTTCCAACATGTTTCACCAGAGCCGAGCAATGCCGTGGGCATCGGGGCACAATGCCCCCTGAGCCCTGCGTGTCAGGATTTAAGGTTTAGGGTTTAGTGTTTAGAGTGACCATGTAGGGCTTATAGGGTTTTGGGATGTTCGCCTAAAGGGCGCTTAAAAGACATACTAGGACCCAAGATACGTTGAAGGCTTGAGGCCTTTGTCGGCGGTTAAAGGGCTTTGAGTTTCGGGAGTGGGGTTCAGGAAAAGGTTCAAATACTAATTAAACTGTACACCTTCTAAGCCTTTTGAGGCCCAGAAGCCTTCATCTCAACGCCGCCACTTCCCACCAACCCCCGCTAAACCTAAACCCTGAACCCTAAACCCTGAGGGTGTCTGCCAGAACTTCCGAGCTAAACCCTCTCCCCGAAGCACGTAGGTTTAGGATTTGAAGTAGGGTTGAAGGTAAAAAATCCTGCTCTTTGGGGAGTGTATGCCTGGTTCCTTATTCAATTTTGGTTGTTTCATAAATTGGGGTGTCCTCTTGGGGATGCTCGACGTGTAGGGTTTAGGCGTGGAGAATTGAAGCAAGGGTGACCCTTGCATGCTCCACACAGTGATGGCCACTGCCACAACAATGAAAATGTAGTACTGAAGAGCCATGCCGGCAGGTGGAGCAGTGCTGGACGACCAGACCACCGTCGCGGCCTGACTCTGATTGAAGTTTGGTTTTGGGATGTACAATAGTGTTGGCCGCAGAACTGGCAGCTTCGGCCGCAGTTGCCTCTGCACGAGCGGCAGCTTTGTGTTGGCGAGATGCTGCCTCGCGTTGGGCGCGGCGACGCGAGCCTTCCTGCCGAACCCGGGCTCCACGACCAGGCCTGGGATCCATGGCTGAATTTACCGCATCTGCATGCTGGCTCCGTCGATTAGCATGCAAAATGCAATTAAGCTTGATGAGCAGAGACTGCATACTGGAAATCTTGCACGTGTCCATTGAAGGTCGCACATTCTGTGCATCCGCGAATGGTCCAGCCCGAGCGTGAACCTGCATGGGGGTGAAATAGGGGAACAGACTTACACAGAGACTGCGCAGGAAAGGGTGAACAAGTCTCTGGCAGCACTATGAGGCTGCAGACAGCGAGCAAGCAGTGTGACCTACCTCAAGGCAATCTTAAAGTTAAACACGAGTTGGCTGGCTCTGGCTTGGCATAACCATATATGTGGTGTTTTCATGCAGTCCATGTTTCGAAGCTAGCATGCTCTGGCTTCTGGTGCTTCTAGGCAAACCTACTATGATGATTTCCATTCTAGTGCTACCTTTGCTTGGGACCACACAAACAAAGCCATCCTGGCTGCAAAAGAAAAGCCATCCCTTGGCTCTGTCGTCTGTGCCAAACCAGTCCGTGAATCATGCCCAATCCCGCAACCGCACAGCCCGAAGCCTTGAAGCCTTGGAGTCCCAAAGAACGTGCACGTGCTCAGGTATGCCGGCGAGAGGCATATGAAGGAGCTCATCGAATTGAGCCGTGGCATTAAAGATCGCCACGGCCAGAACAAGAGGCTCGACTACGGCGAACATCTCCGCCGGTGAGAAAATGAAGGAGGGGTTCGCAGGGTTCCCTAAAGCGGCAAACCCAAGGCCTAAACCCTGAAGACCACGGCCCGAAGCCTTGAGGCACCCAAGAAACCCATGCAAAAACCTTTCTAGTCTCCGACATATCCTTCATGTGCAAGGCATGCACCCCGGCTCAAAGCCTATATGTTTTTTTCGTTTGTCATTCCCAAAACAGTGTGTCTCATGCAATGCAAGCCAATGTGGCTTTTTTGGCTGCGGACAAAGCAAACACTCAGTTTCGACACAATCACACCGAAAAAAGTGGCAATAGTCACACGGACTTTTTGGAGTAACGTTTGGAATGAAGAACAGCTTGCCAATTTTGGAAAAACTGAAATTTTAGGGGTTGAAAACAGCTTGAAAACATTGCGACGGACAAAGCGCCTCCAAACCCAACCAAGTCCTTCAAGTTTTTTTAGCCCTATAAAACCCTCGAAGCCGGAAGCCCAAACCCTCAACCCAAAATCTCTAAACCCCCTAAACCCTGAACTTCTGAACCCTTAAACCCCTCAACTCCCAAAACCCTCATAACCCCTAAAACGGTTTGATGAGACAGCCCTCCAGCCCCTTCGCACCATCGCCGGCACGCGACCTCGATGGCTTGTCAGCTGGACTCCAACCAACACGAGTGAACCATAATGTCAAGTGGACTGCCGCGATCCAAGTTATCATCCACAGCATGACAAAAGGGTGACGAGCCTTTGACCTGGGCGTTGCGCACCCCATTTTCTCTTGACATTGCCGACCTTTGATTGATTTACCCTGCACTGACGGCATAGCAGTTGAGAAGCGGCATCATTCTCTTTCTGCGAGAGAACGAAATCGAGTGCGAGTGCAGTCAGCAAGCGAGCGGCCACTACATCCTAGGAAGAGCAAGCACGCACACACACACACACAGGCTGACAGAGAGGGCACTACAATATTAATCGATGTGCAACTGATGCTACTGCTCAGCGATGGCAGCAGCCACGCTTTAAAAGTGCTAGCAGGGTTGTGCACCAAGTCTGCATATACTAGCAGGTGGTCATCCATAGTATTTAATTCTATTATAGTAAAAATAGAAAGTTTGTTTTTCCACCCCCCGTAACTTTGAGAACTCCCGTGGCTTCAGCTGCAGAGGCGGGCTCTCTCCAGCTGGAAGAGGGTTCGCCCTGGTCGCTCCATTGGCTTTCTCCTTTTCTGGGGACCAGCAGCCCCACTTGTCGGAGTCGTCCCCATTGGCGGTGGCCTCCACAGGAAGGCAGCCGAGGTCCGGCCGGGTGGGGGAAGATTGAGGCTGGGATGGCCAAGGTCTGATGAGCTGCAGGGTGCAGTTTCTGCTGCTCTATAGAAATGCTTTTTAAAGATTCGGAAATTGCATTGAGTTTGTGGCCCAGGTTGAAGTGGTGAGGCTCTGGTTCCCGCCCTATTTGAAGATGTAGCCTAAGATGCAAAAAAAAAGCAAAAGTCTCAACTCCTAGCTATCTCTTCTTGACGCTTCCTTGAACGTTGGGGCTGGTATGCAGGATTTGGTGGCCCTCAACTGGCCCATGGTTAGAGTAGGCTGTGCGTCGCCATGATCCGGATGTCTTAGTAGGTGTGAGGTTGGGAGTCAGGGTCTAGGGATTTGCGCTGGGACCTCAATTGATGATCGCGCTTTCTGTTGTTCTCGGCTTTTGCACAAGTTAGTTTTCCAAGTTGGCTTCTGGCTGCAGTGTTGGCTTCAACCCCAAGCCCTACGCCAAACCTGCAAGCAAACATCCAGTCCAGATCCTTGTTCTGTTCCATTCATTCCGGCGCCTGCTCTTCAATTTTTTGGCTCTGGCTTCAAGTCCAGGATTTAACGGAAACAAGGTCTAGGTGCTTCGGATTTCAGGCTTCTGGGTAGCGAAACCATGCTAGGCCCGAAATCCTATGTTTTACGTTTTTTAGCAGAACCAAGCCAAGGGCACCTTCCAAACAAAGCTTGAGGAAGAAAGGAACAGTTAGGCAACCAATGTTGCACCAACCGCTGCGTAGCAAACCATCGGGCAATTTCAGGTGGGGACAGTCGTTTGCCCAGCGTGTTGTTGCCGACTGCCCTCTAGGATGCAGCATGTGCCAAGGTCCGAACTTCGGTGGTCTCCGATTCCGCGGTCGTGCTGACTATCTGCGGTACATAGCAAACCAAAATGAGGATCACCTGTGTACAGGGGTTATCGCAAGTGATCTGGAGGATCACTTGTGTACAGGGGTTTTTGGGGTATCGGCTGCATTATAACAAAATGCATTTGCACATGAGCCAGACGTGTCATCACGACTGGCAAGGGCAAGCAAGAACGACGAAAAAATGCTTTTGACCGAGCCTTGCACGTTTTTCGGCCCGAAATGCATTATAAACGTCTTTGTCAAGTGTTGATCTTGCAGTTTGTGATATGAATGCCAGCTTTGACGG